GTGGAAACAGAAGGGGCATCCCTCCTTCTGGGGATCTCAGAGGTGATGATGAGCTCTTCCTACCTCCTGGCTGGACAAGGGTATAGAAGGGGTGCAGAAAGAATTAGGCAGAGGGAAAACAGGAGCCAGTTGGGGAGTCATGGAGGGTCCTGCAGCTTGGAAAACTGTTAATTCTCCTGAGACCTGGAGTGAGATCCTGACTGGGTGCAGAGCCTCTTTCCCAGGTTCGAACTCTAGTTTCATGGCTACATTCTCATTCTCTCTCCTCTCTGTGTGTCTCCTTTCTTTCCTCTCTGTTTTCTACCTCAGTTGGGTGAATCAAGCCCTCCAGAAACTTCCAGAGAAAAGGTACATGAAAGGTGTATCTTTGAAATCTGGCATGTCTTTGTAATGTGTTTTTTCTTCTCAGTTAATAGAACTCAAGTATAGTATTCAAGCGTGAAAATAGTTTTCACTTGTATTAGGAATGTGTTCCTTTTTGCTTTCAGTGCTAAGAAGCCTGACATGCCCCCCCCCACCCCCGACCCCGAGAATATTTACAGAACACACACCCAGTGTTCCAGGCACGTCACAGTTGGCTCTGGAGATGGCGTTGTCACTCTCCCTGTGTTAGAGCGGAGGGTTTGTCCATGCTCACACAGCAAATCCAGAGTCCTGCTTCAGTGAACTATTCTGATACTGTTCTTATTGGGAGCCCTTTTGTATGACTCTCCCTCCCCGAAAATGTTTAAGATTTTCTTTTATACAGTTATTTTGACGCTCAGTAATGTACCTTGGTTTCACCTTTTCAGATTTGTTGTGCTGTGTAGGTAGTAGACTCTTTGAGGATCAGATTTTTGCAGTTGACTATATATTGATAATTTGTATACCTCTTTGATTTCATAATGTCTCTTCATTAATCTTGAAACACCACTTCCTTCAAGCTTCCCTGTTTCTAAACAACCAGTAAAGTCTCTTTACAAAGCCTGATCTCAGTCCAGTGTTCCCAGGTGAACATCCCCACCATCAGAGTTCCTGAACACAGCTGTTGTGTTCCTGCGGAGCCACCTTCAAGGGGGTACCCCTAGGAGTTTAGGATCTTGTGGAGAGAATGGGCTTAGGAGAATGTTGTGGGTCAGAGTTTTTAAAACAAATTTTCCTCACAGGAAACAAAAGCAAGGAGTTCTGAGAAGAATGTGAGAAGAGCGTGGGTGCTGTCATTCCCTAGCCCAGCTAGCTCTCAGCATCTCCTACTTGGCTTTGTTTTGCCTTAGTGCGGGACAGAGGCTCTTTCTGGTGCTCCAGCTCTGTGTTCAGTGTATTTTGTGCATTAGTGACAAGGACCTGATCTCACTGTGCTGTGAAAAGGATGAGGTGTGGAGATGAAGACCTCTGGCTGAGCAGGTGCTTCCCAAGGCCCCTCACCCTAATCTCCTCCAGGGCAGGTGCATGCCAGCAGGATGTGGGAACACAATCCTGCAGACTTCCTTCTCCCTCCACTGAACTGTCTGTGCCCCACCCCCACCAAAGAGAGAGGGAGAGAGAAACGGAAATACAGAAATAGACTAAACAAAATATACTGGGGCTATAATTTCTGGCTTTAGTTTTACTTGTCTCTGCTCAATTTTCTTAATTTCCCTCAGGAGAAATGTCCAAAATCCAGGTGTACTGAAACTCGAGTGCTCAGAGCTGAGAGAAAAGCATGCTTGGGTATATGATGCACACACCACCCTCATGGGAGGGACACGAAGCTGAGGGGTCACGCGTTGATAGGATGGGAGCTCTTCCCCCTGGGGCCAGCCTTGGGTTCTGCTGGGCTGTCGTGATGCCCAAGGTGGAGGTCGGCTTGCATGTGAAGAAACAAAAACCCCCATGTCGCAGTTGTATTAAGTGGATTCTGCGTGATCATGTTCTTAAACAGAAGAGTTTACTGGCAATTTTTTTAATCCTTTGAAATAATCACATTCATAGGAAGCAATCTAGCGGCCCTCAGGCAGGCACAGTCTGAAGGTGTATTTTGTTGGCCTTTAGAAATGAATTGGCTGCTACATTTTAAGACTTTCAGCATTTTCTGGAAAGTCTCCCATCTTCTTGCAGTAAAAAATGAGAAGATTTGGCAGAATAAGGCCTGTGGTTACTGCCTTAGACTCAGGTCGGCTGAGGTCTGTCCTGCCTGTCTTGCCCCCGAGGCATTTGCATTGACATCTATTGGGATGTCAAAGGGAAGCTATCCTAATTTTGAAAGTTAGGATTCTGTACAGATTTGTTCTCTAAGGAATAAGGCATTAGTGGGAGTAAAAGTAAATTCTGATTGTGTTTCTATCAGAAGTAAGCTGTTTCCCAAGCATTTTTTTTTTTTTAAGATATTGGTGTACACAGTGTCTTTATTTTATTTCCATGTGGTGCTGAGGATCGAACCCAGTGCCTAATGCATGCCAGGCGAGCACTCTACCACTGAGCCACAACCCCAGCCCAAGCATAATTTTTCTTTTTCTTTTTTTTCTCCCTGAAAGTACGTTGGAAGATTTTGTTCATATGTTGTTCTGACCCTCAAATAAGTCCATTTGCAAGTTTACCTTGGTAGGTAAGCCAGATCTATCATAAGCATAATACTATTTTCCCCCAATTACTTGCTCAAAATTTTGTAAGTCAGTGTTCTCATGAAAGAAAGTCTTCTTTATTACCCTGCCTTTTCTAAGTTGAGCAGATTTTGGTGACACTGCCATTGGTACCTCTATTGCTAAGCACCCCATCCTAATGCTGCTCCCAGACTTCCTAGAAGGCTCCTTGTGGGTGGCCACTGCTGGCTAGCCAGTCGCCATTTGCAAGCTTGTAGCCTACCAGCAGAAGTGGAATGTTACATATTAACTTTGGGAAGTCTCCTATGTGGATCCTGAGTAGAGCTTGCCTCTGTGCTGCAGTGCCTCAGGCTCAGGCCCAGAGGGATTAAGTGATTTACCCTCAGTCATTCTGCTAATTAGTAATGGAGCCAAGATTAGAGTCTAAACCTGGCAGCACCTGGTCCTGAGTGCTTCCTCACTGCCTCTCTCTGCCCCCTCATGCCACTTCTTCCTGGCATTGCAATAGGGCAGGCATCTCTTTCCAGAATAACTGTAAATTTGTAGTAAGGTTTTGTTTCATTTCAAGATAATGTTTAACCTATCAGTGAGCATAGTTCATGATTACTTTAGTCAGGGTTTGAGTTTTAGGGGTTGTTTGTACTCCTTTATTAAGTTATTCCTGTACAGCCGTGTAGTTATATAACTTCAGAAAATTGGTGTTTTAGACATTCCGTGAATATATTTTCATTCTAATAAATAAGCTTGGTGGCACTGGACTTGACTAGGAAGTTTTTCATTCACAGAAAATAGCTAGACATTTTCAAAATGTGTGCTTGTATGTCATAATTACTTAAACTGTTTGGGATTCATTTCCTGGCTTTTTGA